TTTATGAACCAAGCCATTTCATCGGCCATGAAAAAAGTTGGCTTAGAGTACAATCATGAAAGCTTGTTCAATAGTGATGCCTCGATAGGCTGAGTTCATGCATCAGATCGAGATAAGTCGAAAGCTTCGATAGCATTAATTTAATAGGCTACGTTTAGCCATGAAACAATACCAGTAATCGAAAAATAGGTCCATGATTGACTTTATATTTATAATGATAAAGGCTGAAGCCAGGGAGTCTTTACCGAGGAGCCATGATAGGCAGAGATATGACATTAAGATGATTACAACCAGGAAAGCTACGATATGCATTTATGAACAAAGGCCACGATCGGCCATGAAATAATTGTCTTTAGGGTTCCAATCCTGAAAGCTTGTTCGATAGCGATGGCTCGATAGGCCGGTGCCTCGATAAGCCGATGCCTCGATAGGCCGGTGCCTCGATAGGCCGTTGCCTCGATAGGCCGATGCCTCGATAGGCCGATGCCTCGATAGGCCGATGCCTCGATTGGCCGATGCCTCGATAGGCCGTTGCCTCGATGAAATAATTGTCTTTAGGGTTCCAATCCTGAAAGCTTGCTCGATAGGCCGTTGCCTCGATAGGCCGGTGCCTCGATAGGCCGATGCCTCGATAGGGCGGTGCCTCGATAGGCCGATGCCTCGATAGGCCGATGCCTCGATAGGCCGATGCCTCGATATGGCCGTTGCCTCGATAGGCCGATGCCTTGATAGGCCGATGCCTCGATATGGCCGTTGCCTCGATAGGCCGATGCCTCGATAGGCCGGTGCCTCGATAGGCCGTTGCCTCGATAGGCCGTTGCCTCGATAGGCCGGTGCCTCGATAGACCGATGCATCGATAGGCCGTTGCCTCGATAGGCCGTTGCCTCGATAGGCCGATGCCTCGATAGGCCGATGCCTCGATAGGGCGGTGCCTCGATAGGCCGATGCCTCGATAGGCCGTTGCCTCGATAGGCCGATGCCTCGATAGGCCGTTGCCTCGATAGGCCGATGCCTCGATAGGCCGATGCCTCGATAGGGCGGTGCCTCGATAGGCCGATGCCTCGATAGGCCGTTGCCTCGATAGGCCGTTGCCTCGATAGGCCGATGCCTCGATAGGCCGATGCCTCGATAGGCCGGTGCCTCGATAGGCCGGTGCCTCGATAGGGCGGTGCCTCGATAGGCCGGTGCCTCGATAGGCCGGTGCCTCGATAGGCCGTTGCCTCGATAGGCCGGTGCCTCGATAGGGCGGTGCCTCGATAGGCCGATGCCTCGATAGGGCGGTGCCTCGATAGGCCGATGCCTCGATAGGCCGGTGCCTCGATAGGCCGATGCCTCGATATGGCCAAGTTCATGCATCAGAACTGAGATTAGTCGAAGGCTTCGATAGCATTATTGTAATAGGCTTCGTTTAGCAATGAAACATTACCAGTGATCGTAAAATAGGTCCATGATTAACCTTACATATATGATGATAAAAAGCTGAAGCCAGGGCGACTTTTCAGAGGAGCCACGATAGGCATAGATATGACATTAAGATAATTACAATCAGGAAAGCTACGATATGCGTTTATGAACGAAGGCTGCGATCGACCATGAAATATTTGTCTTAGAGTACAATCATGAAAGCTTGTTTAATAGTGAAGCCTAGATAGGCTGATGCCTCGATTGGCTGAGTTCATGCATCAGAACTGAGATTAGTCGAAAGCTTCGATAGCATTAATGTAATAGGCTACGTTTAGCCATGTAACGATACCAGTATTCGTAAAATAGGTCCATGATTGACCTTATATTTATTATGATAAAGGCTGAAGCCAGGGACACTTTTCCGAGGAGCCACGATAGGCAGAGATATAACGTTAAGATGATTACAATCAGGAAAGCTACTATATGCATTTATGAACGAAGCCCGCGATCAGCCATGAAATATTTGGCTTTGGATTACAATCGTGAAAGCTCACACAAGTTATGCCTCGATAGGCAGAATTCATGCGTCAAGTACGAAATCAAGTCGAAAGCTTCGATAACATTAATGAAATAGCCCAAGATTGGTCATAAAATGGCAATAATCGTAGAATTTCAGAAGCTGTGATAGGCTTAAAAATTTTGCAGCAATCAGAAACGAAAGTCATGATAGACATAAGCAAGCAAGGATACGAATAACCTTGGAGCGTTGTTATTATGGTATTTTCAAAGCTATTCTTCATTATCAATTATGGGATGAGTTGATGGTAAAGAACGAAATAAAGAAAGCCACGATTGACTGCGTGTAACTTAACAGATTAGCAGCGAAAAGCGGACGTATGATAGATGTATGGATTGTTAACCACCACCAGTAGCTAGCGAAGAAATTTACCTCGAATGTCGGTTGAGAGGGCTTGTTGAGCATTTTGGGTCATTTCATGTCCCAATGTGATCACACCTTATTCCTGTAGATGGCGGTAATGCACATAGATTGCAAACTGCCAATAAAATTCACAGAAGAAGAAGAAGAAGTCTTTCTGGTAGAACTTCCGCTTCCGCTTTCATTTCTATTAATCTTTTAGTCTGCCTTTACATTGCTTTAATGTGTGATTATTGTAACGTGTCCGAGAGTGAATCCAGCATTTATATGTAATGTCACTTCAGAAACTTTGCAGCGCTGGCCGTCGGTTCTCTTAGCAGGATAAAAAACAATAGTTTTATTCAATGGATTATATAATCTGTAGCCCCGAAAGCGAGACAAGACTTCACTGAGAGACTTGGAGAATATTTTTTACTGTAGTTGGAGTGAAACGTCGCTGTTAATTCCCAAATTTTACACCAAATCCGTGTGTGTTCCTGCAGTTTATGAACATGAGGATCATCACACACACGAGTCCAGTGCCGCTGCTAGCCATTTTGGTGCCCTAAGCATAATTCCTTTTTTATTTAGGATTTTCATTTAGGGGGGCTAAGCCCCTTTTATGATTTATAAAAAAATTTAAAAGCTAAAAAGTAACACTTTAGATTAGGGTCTAATGCTTACTATTAACTAGTTTCATTACCATGCAATGCATGGTTTTATAATCACTGGGATACCGAATTTGAGGCAGGTTAGTTAGGGGTGTTCGGGGGAAATTTGGGATTTTTCTGAACTACAGATGTGCATTTTAAAGATGTTGTGAAGGCAAAAAAAATAAAATTATTCGATAACAACAGCTTTAAAACCATGTCAGTGGGCAGCTGATTATTTTTCTCTCCTCATCAGCATCAGCATCACACTCTTTTTCTCTTTGTTTTTATTTTGCCCTGTCTGTTCCCCTCCTAAAGTTGGCTTTTTTTATTTACTAAAGGTTACAATTTGTATTTTATTCTCAATATGTACACATTCATTATAAATCCTGTGCCTAACATGATGAAAACGGCTTTGTTCATGTTTCTTGTCTCCTCACAATGACAGTAGCCTAAACTATTACACTAGGCTACATGTTACATAGGCCTATTTTCAGTTCAAAATGGCAAAATTAGACAAAACTATATTAGTTTGCCTAATTATTTTTTGTCATTCGTTTAACATTTATGACCTAAAAAAACTGTCAAATAAAGTTAAGTTTAGCTACTTACATCTTATCTCGCACTTGACCGTACACTGAAGCGTCGAGTTGCACTGTTAAAATTCGCGCTCAGCGTCTGTGAACATAAAGCCCGTCTACTTTGATTTGATTGGTCATCTCAAATATTCTGACATTGACGAGCAGTGACAGACCAATGAGGCTCAGATGAACACACACATGAACACATCACACACACACACACACACACACACACACACCCTGTCCTGTTTTTCTGACGTGCTCTCTGTCTCTGCTCGGCGCCGCTGCGGAATGAAGAGGAAGAACGCGCTGAATCTGATTATAACAAGAAGTTTGATGATTGGTTTTTCATTAGGCTATTTTTGGTGCCCCCTCAGCACTTGGTGCCCTACGCACAGCGCGTGATGCGCGTGGTGGGAGCGGCGGCGCTGCACGAGTCTCTGTCAGTCACTGAATAACTGAGTTTGATTGTGAGTCGCGTCTGTCGCGTACTGCTCTGAGACACGAAGGTTGAGGATCCAAATGCAGTTTTATTGAAGCGTTATCCAAAGACGTAATCCAGAAAACAGGCCAGAGGTCTTAAACACCGGGTAATCAGTCCAAACTATAACAGGATCACAGGCAAAAAGGAAAATCCAAGGAAAGGTCGAGATCAAAACCAAGAACACGGGAATAACAGACAGAACGCTCAGATTTGCAGTACAAACACTAAACAAGACTTCGCAGGGAATGAATGTGAAAACCAGGCTATTATAGGGTGAGTTAAACACGGTAATGACAGGTGAATGTGATCGTGGATGATAGTCTGAACTAAGGATTATGGGGAATGGCGTCTGTGGATGTGAGGTACTGTCTGTGGTGGAGCCCTCTTATGGTAATCCTACAGCGTCACACATGATATAAACATCTTCACTTTTATTAATGTTTATAAAATAAATGTAAAAAAAATATGGTGACATGAATATGCTGTTTTTAATAGAGGACAGCTCCTGTTGGGTAATCTTAAATTTTTGAATAAATGTTTATATTATTGCTAATTCCTCCATACATTTATATTAATATAAATTATTATAATCTGCTCTGAAATTGAGGGATGTATTTATATGATGCTGTTAATATCTGAATTATGAGGGATTAACTATAAATCAACAGACTTATTAACCTGGTCAAGCTGAACGTGTGTATGATTCTGATGATGCAGTTTAGAAAGAAGAATAAATTAAATTATAAATGCAGAAAATAAAAAATGTGGTGAAGGATTGAAGAATATCCACTGAAGTGAAAATCAAAAGTGACTGAATTTCTACATGAAGGATGTAATAGGAAACAGGAGACAAATACAGTCTGACTTCTGAAAAATCACAATCAAAAATATTAAAAACTGATGAAGCTCAAGAAAATGATGTACAATAAGATCATATTGAGTCATTTTTTCACTGTGTGTGTGTGTGTGTGTGTGTGTGTGTGTGTGTGTGTGTGTGTGTGTGTGTGTGTGTGTGTGTTTGAGCAGCTGCAGTTTCAGTTCAGTCACTGTGACTCTGACTGACGGAGGTTTTTGTACGACTCTTTATCACTGTGTGAACACATGTTTATTGTTGATGACGTGGAAACTCTGACAGTAATAATGTCCAGCATCTTCAGTCTGGACTCCACTGATGGTCAGAGTGAAATCACTGTTAGATCCACTGCCACTGAATCTAGATGGAGTTCCTGACTCGAGGCTGTCTGCTGCATAAATCAGGAGTTTAGGAGCTTCTCCAGGTTTCTGTAAGTACCAGGATAGAGGCTGAACACCCCAACCCTGATAGACTTCAGGACTGGTTTTACAGGATATAGTAACTGTGTCTCTGAGATGAACAGGTTTCACTGCAGGCGTCTGAGTGACTGTCACTTCACCAACTGAATCTACATCAAGAAGAATAAATAAACATTCAGAATTACATATTTGGATAATATTTCTAACACAAATGATCAATTAGATTAGAGCAGTTTAACTTCATATTTCCTGACCTGTGAAACAGCTGGAGAACATCCAGATGAAGATGATGAAGATGAAGCTCATGGTTGCTGTTGGTTCAGATTCTCAGTGTTCAGACTCAGAGTTATAAATCCTCCAGAAGCGTGAGCTGTGATGCAAATAATCTATATGTAAATTCAATTCAATTCAATTCAAATTTATTTGTATAGCGCTTTTCACAATACATATTGTTTCAAAGCAGCTTTACAGAAAGTGCATTTCAGAAATGTACATAGAAGAATATAGTTAGTTAATCATCATGTATTAATTTAGGGCATAACATATCGCCGGCGTTGAGTCGTCTCTTCACAGGCGTCGAGTCGTCTCATCGCAGGTGTTGGGGCATCTGAAATCTCCGTGAGAGGCTGGATACAAACTGGAGCTGACGAACGCTATTTACCTCGGGACTAGCGTCCCGAGATAACAGCAGAAAAACAGATGGGAGATAATTAGCGTAGCTGCTGTTCATAATATTAATGCAGTCGATCTGATTCAACAGTGGTATAAAAGGTAAGCATTGTGTGAATGCTTGGCTGAAGAGATGCGTCTTTAATCTAGTTTTGAACTGGGAGAGCGAGTCTGAGCCACGAACAGTATCAGGAAGGCTATTCCAGAGTTTAGGAGCTAAATGTGAGAACGCCCTCCCTCCTTTAGTGGACTTAGATATCCTAGGAATGACCAGAAGCCTCGAATTTCGGGATCTTAAAGAACGCGATGGATTGTAGGGCGATAGAAGGTCCATTAAATACACAGGAGCTAAACCATTTAGGGCTTTATAGGTCAGTAGTAGTACTTTGTAATTGATACGGAACTTAATAGGTAACCAGTGCAGAGATGATAGAATCGGTGTTATATGATCATATTTTCTCGACCTAGTAAGAACTCTAGCGGCTGCATTTTGGACTAACTGTAGCTTGTTTATTGAGGATGCAGGACAACCAGCTAATAAAGCATTACAGTAATCTAGTCTCGAGGTCATGAATGCATGAACTAACTTTTCTGCATCAGAAACAGATAGCATGTCACGTAATTTAGCAATGTTTCTAAGGTGGAAAAAAGCTGTTCTTGTAACATACGAAATATGATTTTCGAAAGACAAGTTGCGGTCTAGTATAACACCCAGGTCTTTTACTGTAGTCGATAAGGTAACAGGACATCCTTCTAAATTAAAGTTGTATTGTAAGAGATTTTGTGGGTAGTTTTTTGGACCAATAAGTAATACCTCAGTTTTATCTGGATTTAGTAGCAGGAAATTACACGTCATCCAGCATTTTATATCTTTAAGACATTCTGTCAATTTAGATAAGTTAGTGTATTCATCTGGTCGTGATGAAATATATAATTGAGTGTCATCAGCATAGCAGTGGAAATTAATTCCATGTTTTCTTATAATATTACCAAGTGGCAGCATATATATTGAGAATAGCAGAGGGCCTAACACCGATCCTTGCGGCACTCCATAGTCTACTGACGTTATCTTCGATTTTTCCCCATTTAAACAGACAAAATGGTAACGGTCCGATAAGTACGATCTGAACCAGCTTAATGCCTGTCCCTGAACACCAATGTAGTTTTGTAGTCGATCCAGGAGTATTTTATGATCTATAGTGTCGAACGCAGCGCTAAGATCGAGTAGAACTAGTATTGAGATACAGCCTTGGTCAGAAGCTAAAAGTAAATCATTTGTAATTTTAACTAGCGCAGTTTCTGTGCTATGATGCGGTCTGAATCCTGACTGAAATTTTTCGTATATCTCATTTTCTTGCAAGAAAGAACACAATTGAGCGGACACAATTTTTTCTAGTATTTTAGACATAAATGGAAGATTTGAAATGGGTCTGTAATTTGCTAAGTTATTTTGATCTAATTGCGGTTTCTTAATAAGAGGTTTTATTACTGCCAGCTTGAATATTTTTGGAACATGACCTAAAGATAAAGACGAGTTAATAATATTGAGAAGAGGCTCTTCCACTACAGGTAACACTTCTTTCAGTAGTTTAGTGGGTATTGGATCTAATAAACATGTTGTTGGTTTAGATGCAATGATAAGTTTATTTAGCTCTTCCTGTCCTACAGTTGTAAAGCGGTGTAGTTGTTCTTGAGGGACGATAATTGAGGCTGAATCACAAGACACCATAGAGGATTGTACATTTACAATTGTATTTCGGATGCTTTCTATTTTCTCATTGAAGTAATTCATAAAATCATTACAACTATACTGTAACGGAATATTTTGCTCTGGTGATGTCTGTTTATTTGTTAGTCTAGCCACGGTGTTAAATAAAAACCTTGGATTATTTTGGTTATTTTCTATTAGTTTGCGGAGATGCTCAGCCCTGGCTGCTTTTAGAGCCTTTTTATAACGTGACACACTGTCTTTCCACGCGATTCTAAAGACCTCTAAATTAGTTTGTTTCCATTTACGCTCTAAGTTACGAGTTTCTCTCTTGATAGCATGTGTAGTACTATTGTACCATGGTGCTTTAGTTTTCTCTCTGTGTAAGGATTCCAACACATGATGCACATAAATCATAACAGTGTTTATGATATTTTTCCATGTTACGAGTCATAAACATTTATTCCTGTGTCTGAAGCTACAGGCTTTCTGATGATTCAAATGAGAAGCATCACTAAGATAAACAAGTTTGTCACTGTGAACTTCATTAGAGGTGTAAAGGTCATTCCAGAGGTCATAGGTCATCAGAATGTATTCAAATTGCTTTAATCATTAATAATACATTGAGATGAATGATAGATTCAGTAGTTTTGATAAAACAGCTATGAGTAATATCTTATCTTGATAAACTTCGAGGGAAAGATAAAGCTTAAAAAAGCTCAAAAACATATGGTGGCAGTTTTGAGTAATGAGACTCTTCACTGGTAGATACATGTGTGACCAGAGGTGTAAATCTTTGGGTAGATGGAGATCTGATTCAAAGCCTCATATTCAAATAAAAGAAAATCATCTCTATCCTAAAACCCCTTAAATGTCGTCCGCTCGCCCAAATAAACAATGATTTCAGTAAAACATCAGTATTTCATCTTTTAAAAATAACAGTGCAGTTTCCACACAATGAAGCGCTTTATTTCAGTGGCCGAGCAATAACATCTTTCTGAATGTGTGAAGTGTGTTTGCTGGAGACTGAAGTGTGTGTGAGAGATCTGTCTTCTGCTCGTGTGAGACTCAGACGCATCGCAGGATTAATAATGAATGATCCCGAAACAGTGAATGGTTACAGACAGACTGATCGTGGGACGGCGGAGCGTCTGATCATGTTAAAGAAGGTTTCTCTCTTTCACTGTCAGTTTGCTCTGAATTCAGTAAATCTGTGACTCTTGTAGATGATGATCTAAACACCGGCTTTATGGAAGATGATTAATAAACTATTCAAGCAACAATATGTTTATGATTCACTTTACAGTGTGATTGTATGATTACAGTAAGAAGGAAAAATAATCATGCTTTATAAAAATACATGAACAACCACGAGAATAGATAAACCAACAATTATCAAAAAATATATTATCAAAATCATTTCTTATTATCTTCAGTAATATTAATGAAGTGCAGCAAAATTGATATTAAGTTAATTTGTGTTTCTTCATTGTTGAGTGTGTGTGTGTGTGTGTGTGTTTGAGCAGCTGCAGTTTCAGTTCAGTCACTGTGACTCTGACTGACGGAGGTTTTTGTACGACTCTTTATCACTGTGTGAACACTGGACCACGGTTGCTACTCATGCAATAATAATGTCCAGCATCTTCAGTCTGGACTCCACTGATGGTCAGAGTAAAATCTTTGCTAGATCCACTGCTGCCACTGAATCTAGATGGAGTTCCTGACTGACGGCTGTTTACTTTATAAATCAGGAGTTTAGGAGCTTCTCCAGGTTTCTGTAAGTACCAGGACACACAGGCTGGGCTGCAGGCTGTATCATCACTACTGAATTTACAGCTCATCTCTACAGTTCCCTTTCGTTGTCACTCCGAGTTCCGTCGGATGACGACGAATGGGGGTTTCGCTTAGAAGCCAATCAACTTCAAATACTTCAAAACGAGCCAATGGCAAAGAAATGCCATGGGTCTGCGGAATTTGCATAGCGTAACTCCGCCTCACCTCGTGAGTATATAAGGAGAACGCTGGCAGCAAACCGGCATGTTTTCGCTTTGGAGCCAAGTTAATCCTTCGTTCCACAAGCCATTCCTGAAATTGTCAGTTCTTCAAACGAGCAAGATTCTCTGGTGTTGGTGTGACGGCGATCTTCGGCGAGCGCGCACTTCCTGCTTATCTGTCTGTGGTTCGACAGCGAGTGTGTTTCTCCCCGAGCGCTTCAACACAATCAGGTTTCTTTTTCTCACAAAAGAGCTTGCACGTGGCACGTCTTTTTAAAGATGCCTCGCCCGTGCACTTCTGGTTGCGGTAGGCTGGTTGACGACTCTGATGGGCACGGGTGCTGCATAGTGTGTTTGGGCATTGATCACGCTAGAGCAGCACTCGTGGATGACTCATGTTCTCTCTGTGGGAACATGACCATCGCAGCATTACGGTCAAGACTCGGTGATCTCGCAAGAGTGAGGGTCCCCTCATCCACACCCCGATCTACTGACTCTAGAAATAGAGCTAGTACTTCGGCTGGTGGCCAGGGTGATCTGAGGGTGACGGTTTGGAACCAAGCGCCGACTATCAGTCCGTGCCCAGCCGCACCCTCTCCAATGCTGCAACCCGTGAGTGTTCAGGGGATTCCGGCGAGATCATCTTCGGGTGTCCCGCGGGTTTCCTTTGGCGCTCCAGAGGAAGATGCCATGTCTATTGCAGCATCACAAGGTGGGTCTGAGTCTGCTGGAAGTGAAGACTCATCACAGCTGCCGCCTTCGGGTGTGACTACAGTTGTGCCAGAGTCAGATCCAGAGATGACGGCCATGCTGTCTCGAGCCGCCGCGAGCATCGGGTTAGAGTGGAACCCTCCGCCCTGCCCCGAGCGCTCGCGGCTGGATGATTGGTATTTGGGTCAGGCTGCGGATCCCCGTCCCCGTCAGGCCCCGATACCTTTCTTCCCGGACGTGCATGATGAAATCTCGAAGTCCTGGAAGACTCCCATGTCTTCCCGCGACCGCTCGATGATTTCATCCGCCTTTCCTCCCCTCGATGAGGCCGCTGCCCGTGGGTACACTGGGCTTCCCCCGGTCGAACGCTCTGTTGCAATGCAACTGTGTCCTCAGAGCGCTTCGTCTCGTGGTGAGCCAAAGCACCCATCCAAAGCCTGTAGGTACTCGTCTACGTTAGTGGCGAAGTCCTACAGAGCTGCGGGACAGGCAGCCACCTCTTTGCATGCCATGGCCATTCTGCAGGTCTACCAGGCCCAGATGCTCAGGGACATGCACGAGGGTAGGACAGACCCAGGGCTCTTCAATGAGCTGCGCGCCGCCACCGACCTTGCTCTCCGAGCGACGAAGGTGACCGCACGCTCCCTGGGTTTGGTGATGTCCACAGCCGTGGTCCAGGAGAGACATCTATGGCTCAATCTTGCCGATATGAAGGATGCCGAGCGGTCCCGGCTGCTCGACACCCCCATATCGCAAGATGGCCTTTTCGGCGGTGCAGTCGAGGACTTTGCCCAACAGTTCTCGACTGCTCAGAAACAGACTGAGGCGATCAAGCACATTCTGCCCCGACGGCCCGCTGCTGCCTCCACCCAGCCGACCGGGCAGAATACTCAGTCTGTTCGCCGCCGAGGGCGCCCTCCTGCGACTCCCGCCCCTCCCGCCCGGCCCAAGCAGCAGCCTCCACCCGGGCCCGGTCGCGGAGGAAGTCGCAAGAAGGCGCCCCAGCCCTCTCCAGCCCCGCCCCCCGCTAAACGCCGGGCCAAGCGGCGCTCCTGAGACGGGCTGCTCAGGGATGACGTGTTTTTCTCAGGAGATGGTTGCAGGACCACTCCTTCCCCCGGTGGAGGGCCGGGGGAGAATCTTTTGTTCTCCACTCCCCGCTGCTCACCCACGGGTGGGCAGTACCCTAATGTGGTTAAAGAAAGAAATAACACGTTCATCCCTGAGCACACAGAGTTCTTGGACGACACGGTGCGCCGCCCCCGGGCCGTGCACCCCTCGTCCTCCTCTGTCCCAGAGCCGGATGACAGTGCGCGCCGTCCCCGGACCGTGCCGCTCTCATCCTCCTCTGTCGCCAGACCCCTGGCAGAGCAGACCCCCGTGGAACGTTCGTCCTTCCCTGGTCTGCTCTGTCAGGACGCGGTCTATGACTGTACCCCCACACCGGGCCGCTATGCCGTCCACGTCTGGGTCAGTCATACCGCCTCGCTGCCCCACCGACGGGAAGTCTGTGGTTCGCATGACCCCGCTGGTTCAGTCCTTGGGAGCTTGGCTAGAGCTTCCCAACCTGTCCCGCTGGGTCGCACGAACGATCAGGCTCGGCTACGCGATTCAGTTCGCGCGGTCTCCTCCCCGCTTCAGGGGAGTCCGCTCCACTATGGTCGGTGGCAATGCCCCTATCATGAGAGCGGAGGTTGCTACCCTGCTGGCGAAGGGTGCGATCGAGACTGTCCCTCCAGCCGAAATGAGGTCCGGGTTTTACAGCCCCTACTTCATTGTCCCGAAGAAAACCGGTGGGTTACGGCCAATCCTGGACCTGCGCGTATTGAACCGCTCCCTTCACAGGCTGCCGTTCAAGATGCTCACCGCCAAACGCGTTTTCGAATGTGTGCGGCACCAGGATTGGTTTGCAGCGATCGACCTGAAGGACGCCTACTTTCATGTCTCCATTCTCCCTCGACACAGACCGTTCCTACGGTTTGCTTTCGAGGGACAGGCATATCAGTACGCAGTTCTCCCATTCGGGCTAGCCCTGTCTCCTCGCGTCTTCACGAAGGTCGTCGAGGCAGCCCTTGTTCCCCTCCGGGAACACGGGGTTCGCATTCTGAACTATCTCGACGACTGGCTGATTCTAGCTCACTCTCGAGATCAGCTTTGCGAACACAGGGATTTGGTACTCCGCCATGTAGCCCGTTTGGGCCTTCGGGTCAACTGGGAGAAGAGCAAACTTTGCCCCGCGCAGAGGATCTCTTTTCTCGGTATGGAGATCGACTCGGTCGCCATGTCCGCGCAGCTTACGAGCGAGCGCGCGCAGTCACTGCTGACTTGCCTGAGACAGTTCGAGGGCAAGAGTGCGGTTCCACTGAAACTTTTTCAGAGGCTCCTGGGGCATATGGCATCTGCAGCCGCGGCAACGCCGCTCGGATTGCTTCATATGAGACCGCTTCAGCTTTGGCTTCGCGACCGAGTCCCGAGGTGGGCATGGCAACACGGCACCCTCCGAGTACCAGTTACTCCGACCTGCCGTCAGACCTTCACCCCGTGGGGGAACCTCAGCTTTCTACGGGCAGGAGTGCCTCTGGAACGAGCTTCCCGGCATGTTGTTGTAACGACAGATGCCTCCACCACGGGCTGGGGTGCCATGTGCAATGGACGTGCTGCCGCGGGCTCCTGGACAGGACCCCACCGCTTATGGCACATCAATTGCCTCGAGTTGCTGGCTGTACAGCTCGCCCTGCGCCGCTTCCGAGCCGTGCTCTCGGGCCAGCATGTACTAGTCCGATCAGACAATACCGCGACCGTAGCGTACATCAACCGCCAAGGTGGTCTGCGCTCCCGCCGTATGTCACAACTCGCCCGCCACCTCCTCTTATGGAGTCAGAAGCATCTGAGGTCGCTTCGAGCCATTTTCATCCCTGGAGCCCTGAACTGTGCAGCCGACGAGCTGTCACGGCTTCAGCCCCTCCCCGGAGATTGGCGACTCCATCCCCAGACGGTTCAGCTGATTTGGGACCAGTTCGGGGACGCACAGATGGATCTGTTTGCCTCTCACGACTCGACCCATTGCGCCCAGTATTATTCCCTGACCGAGGGCACGCTCGGCACGGATGCTCTGGCACACAGCTGGCCGCGGGGCCGCAAATATGCGTTTCCCCCAGTGAGCCTTCTTGCGCAACTCCTGCGCAAGGTCAGGGAGGACGAGGAGCAGGTCACTCTGGTCGCGCCGTACTGGCCCACCCGGACCTGGTTCTCCGAACTTGTACTCCTCGCGACAGCACCTCCTTGGCCCATACCTCTGAGGAAGGACCTACTTTCTCAGGGACGGGGCACCCTATGGCACCCTCGTCCCGATCTTTGGAACCTCCACGTATGGCTCCTGGACGGGACGAGGCAGGTTTGAGTACCCTGCCACCAGCGGTGGCGGCTACCATCACTTCCGCTAGAGCGTCGTCCACGAGACACCTCTATGCGTTGAAGTGGAACCTCTTCGTCAACTGGTGCTCTTCTCACCGAGAAGACCCCCGGAGATGTTCGATCAACGTCGTGCTTTCCTTCCTTCAAGAGGGGTTGGAGCGAAGGCTGTCTCCCTCCACCCTCAAGGTCTATGTCGCCGCTATTGCCGCACAGCATGATCTTATAGAAGGTAAGTCGGTGGGGAAGCATGACCTGATCGTCAGGTTCCTGAGAGGAGCGAGGAGACTGAATCCTCCTCGCCCTCCTCTCGTTCCCTCTTGGGACCTCGCAGTGGTCTTATCCGCCCTGCGTAGTGCTCCCTTTGAGCCTTTACAGTCAGTCGAGCTTAACTTCCTGTCAATGAAGACGGCGCTTCTGACTGCATTGGCCTCCATCAAGAGGGTAGGGGACCTGCACGCATTCTCCGTTGACGAAGCGTGCCTGGAATTCGGGCCGGCTTACTCTCACGTGATCCTGAGACCCCGGCCTGGATATGTGCCCAAGGTTCCTACCACTCCCTTCCGGGACCAGGTGGTGAACCTGCAAGCGCTGCCCCCGGAGGAGGCAGACCCAGCCTTGGCACTGCTCTGTCCAGTACGTGCTCTCCGCATCTATGTAGACAGAACGCAGTGTTTCAGGACCTCAGACCAGCTCTTTGTCTGCTATGGTGGGAAGCTGAAGGG